TTAGTAGTAGTTAGTTAGTTAGTTAGTTAGTTAGTAGTTAGTTAGTAGTTAGTTAGTTAGTAGTTAGTTTAGTTAGTTAGTTAGTTAGTTAGTTAGTTTAGTAGTAGTAGTTAGTTAGTTAGTAGTTAGTTAGGTAGTTAGTTAGTTAGTTAGTTAGTTAGTTAGTTAGTTAGTTAGTAGTTAGTTAGTTAGTTAGTTAGTTAGTTAGTTAGTTAGTTAGTTAGTTAGTTAGTTAGTTAGTTAGTTAGTTAGTTAGTTAGTAGTTAGTTAGTTAGTTAGTTAGTTAGTAGTTAGTTAGTAGTTAGTTAGTTAGTTAGTTAGTAGTAGTTAGTTAGTTAGTTAGTAGTTAGTTAGTTAGTTAGTAGTTAGTTAGTTAGTTAGTTAGTAGTTAGTTAGTTAGTAGTTAGTTAGTTAGTTAGTAGTTAGTTAGTTAGTTAGTTAGTTAGTAGTTAGTTAGTTAGTTTTAGTTAGTTAGTTAGTTAGAGTTAGTTAGTTAGTAGTTAGTTAGTAGTTAGTTAGTTAGTTAGTTAGTTAGTTAGTAGTTAGTTAGTTAGTTAGTTAGTTAGTTAGTTAGTTAGTTAGTTAGTTAGTTAGTTAGTTAGTTAGTTTAGTTAGTTAGTTAGTTAGTTAGTTAGTTTAGTTAGTTAGTAGTTAGTTAGTTAGTAGTTAGTTAGTTAGTTAGTTAGTAGTTAGTTTAGTAGTTAGTTAGTAGTTAGTTAGTTAGTTAGTTAGTAGTTTAGTTAGTTAGTTAGTTAGTTAGTTAGTTAGTTAGTTAGTTAGTTAGTTAGTGTTAGTTAGTTAGTTAGTTAGTTAGAGTTAGTTAGTAGTTAGTTAGTTAGTTAGTTAGTTAGTTAGTTAGTTAGTTAGTTAGTTAGTTAGTTAGTTAGTTAGTTAGTAGTTAGTTAGTTAGTTAGTAGTTAGTTAGTAGTTAGTTAGTTAGTTAGTTAGTTAGTTAGTAGAGTTAGTTAGTTAGTTAGTTAGTAGTTAGTTAGTTAGTTAGTTAGTTAGTAGTTAGTTAGTTAGTTAGTTAGTTAGTTAGTTAGTTAGTTAGTTAGTTAGTTAGTTAGTTAGTTAGTTAGTTAGTTAGTTAGTTAGTTAGTAGTTAGTTAGTTAGTTAGTTAGTTAGTTAGTTAGTTAGTTAGTTAGTTAGTAGTTAGTTAGTTAGTTAGTAGTTAGTAGTTAGTTAGTTAGTTAGTTAGTTAGTTAGTTAGTTAGTTAGTTAGTAGTTAGTTAGTCAATCAGTTAAGAGTACATCGTAATCGAAACAGACAATGATTCTTACTGATTGGAACAGTTTAAGTTGGATAACGGGTCAATATTTTGGGTGTTACATACATCAGCACAATCTCATAATACCAGACCTGGGCGATTTCCATTAATTTTGCATTAACATTAAATTAAAAAAAAATTAATTTAATGTAAAAAATATTGCATTAACATTAAATTTGTAAAATTTAATGCATTAAATTTCCATTAACATTAAATATTTTTGAATTTAATGCATTAATTTTACATTAACATTAAATATTTTTCAAATTAATGCATTAATTTTGCATTAACATTAAATATATCTGAATTTAGTGCATTAATTTTACATTAACATTAAATAAGCAATAAAATTAATGCATTAATATTCCATTAACATTAATATATAAAAAATTGATAAACATAAATAAAAATACAGCTCAAAAGACCTCGATCTAACTAAACAACTAAAATTAAATAGGTTAAAGTCCTTTCTAATAACTCCTATATTCCATTCAAACTTGTGTGTTTTAAATATGATATTATATAAGATTCCACAGACAAAATAAACTAAAAAAGGAATATCTGGGAAGTGATATTATTCTTCTAATATATATTATCGAGTATAGGACTTATTAGAAAGACTTTAACAAAATAAACTAAAAATGGAATATCTGGGAAGTGATACTATTCTTCTAATATGTATTATCGAGTATAGGACTTATTAGAAAGGACTTTAACACATTCAATTTTACTTGAATTTGTTAGACCGAGGTCTTTAGCGCTGTATTCTTATTTTTATAAATTATTTTATACATTAATGTTAATGGAAAATTAATGCATTAATTTTATTATTTATTATTTAATGTTAATGGAAAATTAATGCATTAAATTCAAAAATATTTAATGTTAATGCAAAATTAATGCATTAATTTCACAAATATTTAATGTTAATGTAAAATTAATGCATTAAATTTAAAAATATTTAATGTTAATGCAAATTTAATGCATTAAATGTACCCATGTTAATGTTAATGCAATAAACTTGCATTAACATTAATTTTTTTTAATGTAGAAAAAATTGTTAATGCATTAACACATTTAATGCATTTATCCCAGGTCTGCATAATACCATCTCCACTATAGTGGTGTAGGGTATAAAAACGTGATCAAAACTAATTTAACGAATATTCATATATTATTTTCTTTAAAATTGACAATTAGCATGTCTTGTAAGATAAGTACAGACCTAGTAAGTTTTACCAAAACACTGAAGTTGTATTACAGTAATGTCAAACAACTGAAAGAGAAAAGACAAGTTAATGCATCAGCATGGATTTCGATCGAGCTTTAGAAAAGTGCGGCAATTACGGACGTTATCAAATCGTAATGCTTCTGCTATTTGGCTACACAAATTTTATGTCTTCCATGCACTATTTCTCACAAAGTCTAATCTCATTTACACCCGAACACTGGTGCTATCAGGAGCAATTGTTAAATAAAACATTTACGGAAATTAGTGAAATTTATAAGAATTTTTCCAAACCTCATTGTACGCTATTGCAATATAATGAGGGTGCATTTGAAGAGGTGGAGAATGGAGAATGTCGTAAATGGTTTATAAAAAAGAAAATGGCTACGAAAGTATGACTACAGAGGTAAATGGATAATTAAATTAGTTAAACATTATTTTTTTTTTTTAATTTTTCCTTAATTTTTTTTTATGTTAAGCTAAACTTGGTGTGTGATTCGTCTTATCAATCGGCTGTGGGTCAATCATTTTATTTTGTGGGTGCTGTTGTTGGTACCATTTTTTTGGTGTCTTGGCTGATCGTATTGGCCGCTTACCAGCTATTATTTTGAGCACCATTTCAGGTGGTTTGGGAGACTTTTTATATTCTTTTGTCAACAATGTGAAAATGTTTGCCTTGACCCGTTTCATCTCCGGCTTAGCTACCGATACATTTTTTGTTCTCATGTATATACTGAGTAAGTAATGATCGTAGATCTTGTGATCACTTCCACAAGCCAACAGAAGCAATTTTATAAGACGCCTATTTTATCAAAATATGTATACTGATTAACCTCCCTTTATTGTCTTTTAGCTTTTGAATATCTCAATCCCCAGAAACGCACCTTTGCTCTAAATTTTATAATAGGAACTTTCTATTGTGCCGGTCTAATGTTGTCACCCTGGTTTGCTTTATGGGTAAAATCATGGCGTTATTATTATTAATTGCCTCGGTACCGGTTCTGTTATTTTTAATATATCCCTTGCTTATATGTGAATCGGCTAGCTGGTTGTTGACCCGGGAAAAATATGATCGTGCTGTGAAATGCTTAAAGCGTGTGGCTAAATTCAATGGAAGGCAAGTGGAGGATAAGGTGTTCGAAGAATTTGTAGATTATTATAAACAAAAAGCCATTGAGGAACAAAATATTAAAACTAATGATACCTTCTGGGGCATGTTTCGTACGCCTCGCCTAAGGAAATTTACCATTATATTGCTGATCAAAAGGTATGCCAAAATATTTGCTTTAACAAATAATATTTAAGCTTTTTTTCTTTTAGTGTTATCGTTACCATGTCTTACGATATTATATCCCGTAATATGGAAGGTTTGGGATCTTCACCTTTTAAATTATTTTCTTTTACTTCAATAGTCTATGTACCCTCCGGCGTTACCATCATAGCATTTCAAAATGTTATAGGGCGCAAAGGCATGGCTGCGGTATCTTTATTGGGTAGCAGTATTATAACGGCGGTAACAGGCTTTCTAATAGCCTATTTGGATCCTAATTCTAATGCCACTTTATTAGCCATTATGGTGGGTTTGGGCCGTTATGGTGCAAGTGTGGCCTACGATGCTGAGGTTCAATATTGTACCGAAATTGTACCCACTAGTGTGAGGGGCCGTGCTGTAGCCAATATTCATGTCTTGGGTATGCCTGTAGTTTTCTAAATTCTTATGTTATCTACTTGGGCAATTATAAACCTTTACCCACGATTTTTATAAGTATTATCATGTCTATAGGTGCCGCTTTATGTCTATGTCTGCCAGAAACTTTGAACCAGTAAGTTTGAGATTATTTAATACAAGTTATGTACTTGTTATTAAACGTTTATTTTTCTGATTGTAGGAAACTCCCCGAAACTTTGAGTGATGGTGAGAACTTTGGTCTCGATGAGAAGTGGTATTACTTTCCTTGCTTTAGTAGAAGAACCGAAAAACTTGTGAAAAAATCGGTAGAAGAAAAATTTGGTTATACAAATAATATAGAAATAACAGCTTTATAAATACGTTAATTTTAAGTTTAAGAGATCTTATAAATAACAGAGACACTTTACTGTTCTTTGCTCTTCTTTGCTCTTAAGAGAAAATTTTTGCTCTGGTCATTAACATTAGTAAAAATTGTCTGATGAATCAAATTATTTTAAATGGCTTTTTTATGCTAATACTAACTGATTAGACTAGACAGTGCACCTTCTATTAAATAACGTCAAATTTTGGCAAATTACCATTAAGAATATTTTATTTTACAAATAAACAGATTTAATGTTAATATAAAAAAACGTGTTTTAAAAAAATTATAATATACATTAATTTAATAGAAAACAATTGAATTATCTAAAGAGATCAGTACAGATCGAGAAGTGAAAGCAGCAGTAACATTGACAAACAAAATTCGAACAAAGTAATGGATTATAAGTGAAAAAGATTAGATAGATTAATAAGGAACTCCTTCTTAACGTTATGGATTTCGATAAAGCTTTAGAAAAATGCGGAAATTATGGTCCTTATCAATTTGTGGTTCTGCTGTTTGGTTACACCAACTTTATGTCCTCCATGCACTATTACTCTCAAACTTTGATCTTTTACACCCGATCATTGGTGTTATCATGAGCAGTTGGAGAATAAAACATATTCGGAAATTGCTGAGATTTATAAGAATTTTTCAAAGCCTCATTGCACTTTATTGCAATATAATGAGGATGCATTTGAAGAGGTGGAAAATGGAGAATGTCACAAATGGTTTTATAAAAAAGAAAATGGCTACGAAAGTATAACTACGGAGGTGAGTGTGAAGATGTTTTCACGACAATGCAATTTTGATCTATAATTGAACTCATCAACTTTTGAGTTTGTAGGAGATAGAGAGAGAGCGCGGGCTGAGTATGAGTAAAAATTTACCATTCCTCTTTCCCTCTCTCTTCTACAAACTCAAAAAGTGAACGACAAATAGCTTAAATGAAATTTCTCCTTTAAGCTAAACTTGGTTTGTGACTCAACCTATCTATCAGCAGTAAGTCAATCATTTATTTTGTGGGTGCTGTTATTGGGACCATTTCTTTTGGTATCTTGGCTGATCGTATTGGCCGTTTACCAGCCATAATTTTGAGCACCATTTCGGGTGGTTTGGGAGACTTTTTATCTTCTTTTGTCAATAGTGTGGAACTGTTTGCTTTGACCCGTTTTATCTCCGGTCTAGCAACCGATACATTTTTTGTTCTCATGTATATACTGAGTAAGTTAAGAGATCTTTCCAGATAACATATTTTTATTATTTAGTTTTTCAGCCTTTGAATATCTCAATCCCAAGAAACGCACTTTTGGTCTTAATTTTATAACTGGCACTTTTTATTGTGCCGGTTTAATGTTGTCACCCTGGTTGCTTTGTGGGTAAAATCATGGCGTTATTATTTATTAATTGCCTCGGTCCCAGTTCTGTTATTTTTAATCTACCCTTTGCTTATATGTGAATCGGCTAGCTGGTTGTTAACCCGGGAAAAATATGATCTTGCTGTAAAGTGCTTAAAGCGTGTGGCTAAATTCAATGGAAGACAAGTAGAGGAGAAAGTATTTGATGAATTTGTGGAGTATTACAAACAAAAAGCTTTAGAAGAGCAAAAACTTAAAAACAGTGATACCTTTTGGGGCATGTTTCGAACGCCACGCCTAAGGAAATTTACCATTATACTACTGATCAAAAGGTATAGAAAATATTTGCTTTA